CAACTCTGAAGTGTATTTTGGCAAGAGCTTAACAAAAAAATCATTGTTGTGCATTTACAACAGTGCATTTACAACAGTCTCTTTCAACTGAGTGAGCTTAATTCAGTCTATCAAGAATTGTGTATACTTTCCCAAATAATGAAGTAATTTGTTATAATGAAGTGAGGAGTCATTTTGCCATCTTTAACTTTCTTTGATTCTCTAATGTCTATATAGTTTGGAGAAATTATTAGGACTTCTTTGAAATGCTAATCAGTATTACACTACTTTAAAGTGGAAATTTTCTGTTTTGTGGTGAGATCCTTTTAAAGTAGGATCTCATAGGCACAGAGTTGCAAAAGTAAGTGGAAAGTCAATAGGCATAATAGATGGGAACCACAGTGCAACCAATAATCTCTTCAAAAGAGTTATTTGATTTAGCTTCAAGCTTTTGGCATTTTCAAGGAATTTACCATTGAATTAGGGTAGTTCCCTCCATCCCCATGTTCAAATTAGATGATTGAAAAACAGAATAGTCAAGTGAATGCCAAAGAAATGAATGCCAGAACTTGAGCCACAACATTTAGGAGAAGACTTTTACAACTTTTAAGAGGGCAAAAGAATAAATATTTTCCCTTTGATTTATTTATTCAGTAAGTCAGCTTTTGAAATCATTTTCTGGCCAACCTTTATGATTAGGAAAAAAGTACAGGTTTGTTATATATTACTATTAGTGCCTATTCCAAAAGGGAATGTTTGCTGGTTAAATATGTAAAAGCAATAACTGTAGATAGATGTGTGACAGATACAAGGCTAAATCAGGTAAAGATTCTTTATAAACAATGATGGGCTCTTTGAGAAAATTTCCCGTTTTAAAAACTATAAATACATGAGATAGCAAGGAATTGATTCCCTAGATTTGTAAAGGAATAAATTCTGCAGATAGCTTTCTTATTGTTAGAAATTACAGTTTCCAGACTTAATTTCATTGAAACTATATACCTCAAATAAAAGGTTTGAAATACTTAGCAAGTTTATTATTACCTCTTAGTTTTATGTCTTTCATTGTTAGTTCCTCCCCCCCACCCCACCCCAGTCCTCCAAAGAATTAAGTTTCCTACCCTGTGGTCCCTTAATGCATTGATCCTCGAAGTATGGTTCCGACCCCACTTCTTCTCATGGGACATGCTGCTCCTTTTTCTTTCCCCCCAGTTCTTAATTTGCTTTACAGTTATTCATACTTATGTATGCCTAAGGGCTATTTACTAAGTGAATCATTAAAGATTACTAAAATATGGCATTCATAAACCAAAACTACCACAATATTAGAGTTTACTGACATCTCTATTACATTTTCTTCCAGGAAATCTGTCCTGGGAAGCTTCGTACCAATGCTCCTCATAGGTTGTATACAGAGTGGGGATTCCTGCAATATTCAGGAAGAGTGCTTAGTTTAGGGTGAATCATCAGTAGTGTCTCAAATTGATTTTGGTTTTCCGTTGTGTTTATTCTTGTTTTTTCGTTAAAATTACTATTCAGCATCATCTGATCTACAGGTGGTTGGTTAATCTTTCAAGAGTTCCTGGGTGGTGCAAACGGTTAATGCACATGGCTGCTAATTGAAAGGTTGGCAGTTCGAGTTCACCCAGAGGCTCCTCAGAAGAAAGGCCTGGGCATCTACTTCCAAAAAATCAGTCATTGAAACCCTACATAGCACAGTTCTATTCTGACACACATAGGGTTGCCATGAGTCAGAATCAACTCAATGGCAACTGGTACTGATGGCTAATCTTTCACTGTATCGGTGGAGATATTTGTACCAATAATATTTTGTTTGGCTTGTAAGTTAAGACATGAATGTGTTGCAATGCAAATGTAAATGCTCCATTCTTCTTTTGCTAATACTGATATATATATATATATAAAAAACCCTTTGCCAGAGTAGAACTGCCCCATACGGTTTCCAAGGTTGTAAATCTTTATGGAAGCAGACTGCCACATATTTCTACCATGGATATATTTATATAAACCGAACCTGTTGCTGTTGAGTTGATTTCAACTCATACTGACCCCATAGGGCAGAGTAGAGCTGCCCAGCAGAGTTTCCAAGGAGCAGCTAGTAAATTCGAACTGCCGACCTTTTGGATAGCAGCCGAGTTCTTAACCACTGTGCCACCAGGGCTCCAATATACAACCACCTAAAAACTTGCTCATACAGAGATACTTCAATGTTATCTAGTTCCTTTTCCACTGCAAAAATGGGAAAGTAAGAGGCCTCCTAGTGGACCTGACGCGTTGGACCTGACGCGTTACCAATTTCTATAGCATGTACTGCTTTATGGGTAGGGAGCTAAAGGTGTTGTCTCTTGCAGTCCTTCATCCCTAACCCCAGCTTTCTTTACCAGGAGCATGAGGGACCTTATCTTTTTTCATCTTTGCTCAGTGCCTGGCATATAAGCATTGAATACATGTTTATTGAATGGCGGTGTCTCAGTTTTTTTCAAAGTGGTAAATATTTTGAAAACATCTTTCTGTTTTCACAGATTTTTAGGATAAATTCACTTAAAGCGTTTATTGAGTACGTTCTAGGTTCTAGGTGTGTGCAATTGAATGTGTTCAAACACCATTTTAAATAGATCTCATAAAGGAAAATGTTATTTCTGCCCTCTACACATTTTATTTGCTTTTCTTAATAGCAGAGTTTTCTATAAAAGAAAAATTTCTTTCCTTTAGGCTTGTGAATCATGTATGTGTTTGAATAACATGCCTGCATGATTTCTTGCTGTTTGGTCTCCTAGGGGAAAAAAATCTCAAACTGTATGGAGTAATACATTTGTTTTTCTCCTCTGTACTGCAGCATCATAAGCACTTACCTCAGTTCTTCCTTAGTACTTCCTTTTTGGGTCCAAGGCACATTTTTCAATCCTTGAGACTTTAGGCAGGGATTATTTGTTTTTCCTTTTTGACTATTATTTGCTTCTGGAATGACTTTCTCTCCAGTCTAAACTTTATTTTTTTAACACATTTTTAAGTGGTAGAAGGATTTGTCTTTTCTCCTTTGTACTGTTTCAGGTCAGGACTGTCTTCTATAATTCTTTTTTGCGTAAGCCTCACCTGACCAAGGTGCTTCTGATACTAGGTTAAAAAGCTCTCAACATTTTAGGGGAAGTTTTTTTCCCAGATACTCTTTTCCTAATAGTTCAACCAGAAAAATCATCCAGTGCTTTTCTCAGCCTGCTTGGAGGTTATAATCCAGGGGATAATCTAGTGGTGTCACTAGTGTTGGTGTCACCTAGTGCCATAACTCATGGTGTCACCCCCACCTTGGACCTCCCTCCCATACCAGACCAAACAAAATCTTTAGTGATGGTTTTTTGTACTAATGTTACTTGTAAATCGTAATTCCATATATCACTCCTTATTTTTCTTTAATTACTGCTGCATTCTCAAAAAAGTTATTGATATAGGTTCACAAATACTAATTACCACAATATTGTAGCTAAAACACCAGAAAATTTGACAAAATCAGTGACTATAAAAACACAACACTGGCAGCAACCAGAACAACAGCGCGTGCTTATAGCGGTGCGGACGAAACCACGTGATTGGAAGCATCATTGTAA